TTTAATCATTTTTCTCAAATTTCTTAAATCTAGATTGCAAATTTATTGACTTGAGCAAAAAAAAAAATTTTAATTCATGCTTTACCTGATATTCTCCGTCAAAATAATTGTAAAAAATTGAAAAATATAAATATTTAATGAACAAATGAAAAAATAAAGATATGAAAAGAATCATCTTCAGATTTTTTAAAAATGAAAATGACGAACTTTTTTTTTTTGTCATTTTTATCATTTTTGATTTTAATATTCCGGACCAAAATTTTCAAAAAAATTAAAAAATAAGATTATTCAAGAAATAAATAAGAAAATAAAAAATCCGAGATAAATCATCTTTAGATTCGTGAAAAATGAAAACATGACATTTTTTTGATTTTGATTTTGATTATTTTTTACTTTGATATCCGGCACTAAAATTTTCAAAAAAATAAAAAATTGAGGATATCTAACGATCCGACTAACAAATTTAAAATAAAAAAAATATCATCTTTAGATTTTTCAAAGACGAAAAGGTGACTTTTTTTTTTTTTTTAATAATAATCATTTTACTCGCAGATATACGTCCCAGAATGCCCTAAGCCAAAATTAAAAAAACTAACTGAAATCATCTTTTTTGGATTTAAAAATAAACTAAATTTGAAAATTTCATATGTATGAAACGATAGGAAACACGGTGAGAGTTTCCCAAAATTTAATTTTTAATGTAAAAAATTTTTTATTAGCAAAAAAAAAAAATTTGTTTATTATCATCTGTAGGTAAGTCAACGACAAACCATTTATAATTTGGTAAACTCGAAAAACTTAATTTCGCTTGTAGATATCCCTATCTGAAATTTTATTTTGTCTGCTATCCGCTAACTTCAGGGTCATTAGAATTGATATTGTTAATGATTATTCTTAATAATTGTAAATTCGTTTGATCGATCACTAATGTTTTGTTTTTGTGACTCTATCGATGGTAGCATGATTGAGGTTAAAAACGAACTTGAATATAAATTCTTATATAAAGTATTTTTATGCAGTACAGAAAGCACAAGTAGGTTCACAGCCGCAAAAATCAAAAATGAAGTATAGTCGGGTGGGACGTGTTGAGGTCCAATATGAGAAAAAGAGAGAGTAAGAAGTTTAAAGAAAATCAGCCTTGTAAAAACCGAGAAGGCGTACAAGAAAAATTGCTAAAATAAAATATATAAATTGTTAACTGGAATATTATTTAAAAGTAAAATTTAATAATAAAGATATTTTTTATCAATATTATTTCTAAATGACATATTATTTATATTATTATTATCACTAGAAGAAAAATTCATTGAATTTCAAACTTGTCTTTTACTATACTTTTCCTTATGAAATCTCAATTTTTGTGTAACGAGAAAAGTCCTGGGATCATTCAAACACTTTTATAGTTCCCGACAACTTGACTAAAAATGTGCTTTTATATTATAATTTAAATTGATATTTTACAAATAAAATTAAGTATCAAGACGTTTTATTAAAACTAACTAAAAGAATAATTAAACAACTTAAGGGTCAGTTTTTCAATCCAAGATAAAATTTTATCCAGGATAAAATTATTATTGCCAATATTTTATATGTATGAAAATATATAAGTATATTTTATTATTGGATAAAATCTTATCCTGGATTGAAAAACTGGCCCTTAATTTTAAGCTGAAATTAATCGAATTATATTATGTTTTAATTTTAAATTTAAATTGACGCTCTAATTACAGCTAGCATCACCTGCCGGATGTGACTAATTGCATCACACTACCGACAATTCTTTATGCCGTCATGTTGGAGAAATGTATTTCTTCCATAAACTGCAAATGGCGTACATGTACCTTTAAAAGCATTGAACATCATGCCACTGGTTTCAATTTGAAAAATTGCATCCATGATATTCAAGGGTCGGCTGTAGTATATATATTCCAAAATTTTCTTTTTCTAATTACTTCTTTGTTAAAATCGAAAATCGGGTAATATATAACTATAACTATAATATAAAACTTTTGCTAAAGTTAATCTATGATCTTTTTCTGGAAATAATTAGAATAATAATAAAATTTCTTAAAATACATTTACGATAGCCAAGTTTTAAATTAACTGATCTATGATAATGATAATTTTTTTTATTTTTATGAATTATTAGATGTTTGCTGATTTCAATATTTCATGTTGCATCCAGCAGGAGTTTTTGAATTTAGTTTTTTTTTATAAACGAGTAACCGATAAAAAAAAATACCTTTATAAAAATTTTCAGTTTTTTTTAATTTTGAAAAGTGCAAATTTTTTACGTTATTTTTTGTTTTTTTTATAAAAAATTATTTGTCTAAGATAATTCTAGAAATCCAAGGAATCATTGAAGTGAATATTTTGTGTTTTACAATAAGTACAGTCGGACCTCGTTATATAACTATTAATTTCTTTTTCAAACTACCGCGATGTCTGATTCATAAAAAAGATAGGAAGTAGTCCTCTATAATAAGGTCCGACTGTTATAAAGAAAAATTTAATAAAAACTCAACAAATTTTTTTGTTACTTGAAATACTTTCAAGACCTGAAAAATTTTGATGATTAATCATTCGATTAATGGTGGACCGTTAAAAAAAACTTTAATTTTTTGTAAATAAAACTATTTCTGATAAAAAAAAAAATAAAGAACTTTAGCAGCAGCTTTTGAAAAATTCTGTATCATTTAATCCTCAAACTTAGAGCCAATTTTTCAATTCGGGATAAAATATTGTTTAATCCAAATATATATTTCATTTGTAACATAGATAAATATACTTACCACAATAATTTTATCCTGGGTTAAAAAACTGGCCCTTCAATCATAAAATTTCTAAAAATACATTCAGCGTTGCCCAGTTTTTGATAGAAATAAAAGAAATTCAAAGCCTCTGACTCATCTTATTAAATATTTTTATACGTTTGAATAATATCTCCTTGAGAGCTTTCTTTGGTTATCCATCAGAGGTCTTATACAATTTCACTATACTCATTTAGCGATTTGATTATTATTTATAAACTACGGTATATGGATAGTGTCGTTGAGTGTGTGGAAACACTTTTTTCATATAGTTTATAGAAATGGTTTAATTTTAATACAAGTAACAATTAAAGTATATTATTAAATTAAAAGCTTTGATGGATAACAGTCTCAGGTCAATAACAAAATTTGGGAAAATAAAATGATTTGTTTATTATTAATGTCTATATTATATATAAAAATTTAGCACACCACAAACGCAAATAGAAGCAATACAGGTTTACTTTATTATTACTTGAAAATTATTTTGTTAAAATTGATTTGAGTTTTATGTTAAAAATGAAAATTTTAATTGATTATATTAAAAGATATGTGTTATAAATACTTATAAAATCGATCTTTGAATTAAAATATTATAGAAAAAATTAGAGTATATTTATAAATCAGTATTTAACAATATCCTTGAAAAGTATTCCTGGTTTTTCGGGTCGAGTATTATATCGTTGTTTTTAATAAAATTGAACGATGTCAAAATCTGATTTACCGAAATTAGTGACAGCTTTGTTTACATTCAAAGGAAAAAATAATGATGAGGTAAAATTCAATTACTAAATGAATTGTTTTTCGTTAAGTAATAAAATTTTACCGAATTTTAGTTATGCTTCAAAAAAGGTGATCTCATTATTATTACACAAACGGACGACGGAGGCTGGTGGGAAGGTACATTAAATGACAAGACTGGCTGGTTTCCATCAAATTATGTTAAAGAATATAAATCTCCTGGTAATTATAAAATTATTTTAATTCTTGCACTATTATCGATTAACTACTAAAATTAATTATCTTGACACAGAATCTGGACATTCCTCTACAAAATCATCACCAGAAAAAACGAATCAGGAGCTTCCCGTTTATCAAAGAGTTAATCGAGATATCGTACTAAAAGATTTGGCTGATTCTGAGAAAGCTTTTATCGCAGAACTTCAAAGTTTTGTTAATACTTTTTTGGAACAATTAGAAATAAGTAATGTGTAAGTAATTTATTAAAAGTTTATTAAGCTTTTTTTTTTTTGTAACAAAATTTAACTTAGACAAGTCAGAATTAAATTTTTATAACTTGATCATATTTATCTGTATCTGCAAACGATAATTAAAATTAAATAATTTTTACTAAATTACTTGTATTTTACAGATTGAAAAAAGAAGAATATAAACAATTGTCTGGTAATATATATGAAGTTTTAGAAACTCATCAAAGATTCTTAATAAATCTTGAAGCTGCAGTAGCTCAAGGGCCAGATAGCAAAGTAGGAAATTTGTTTTTATCAGTAGCACCTAAATTCAAGTCAGTTCATATGGCCTATTGCAATGGCCACCCACAAGCCGTTTGTATTTTGGATAAATATCGTGATGAACTAAATGAATTTATGGAACGTAATGGATCTGCTACTCCAGGAATTTTAGTTTTAACATCTGGGCTTAGTAAACCATTCCGCCGGCTAGAAAAATATTCGCATATGCTTCAAGAATTAGAAAGATATACTGGTAAAAATCATTCTGACCGAGGTGACACTCAACGCAGTGTATGTGTTTATCGCGATATTGCAGTAAGTTGATTTAATATATATATTAAATAAATATTTTTTCGTTGGTATTTATCATTTGTTTTATATTAAATAGGAACGATGCACAAGTCTCAGAAAACAAAAAGAATTAGCACTGCAAATTTTGACAAGTGGTATTAAAGGATGGGAAGGTGAAGAATTAACTTCACTTGGAGAAATCTTACACGTCGGACCAGTAACAGTACTAGTTGGAGTAGAAAGACGTGATCGATATTTTGTTCTATTTCCCACAAATTTATTAGTCCTTAGTACGAGTTCTAGAATGAGCTCTTTTATTTATGAAGTATGAATAAAATTTTTAATTTTCTATAATGACTTAAATTTATATAATAAATTTAATTATTTATTTTAATAATACAGGGTAAACTTCCAATAACTGGCATAAATGTTATTCCAATAGAGGACACAGAAGATATGAAAAATGTTTTTGAAATCTCTGGCCCGATGATTGAAAGCATAGTAGTGTTATGTGCACACAAAGAAGAACGCAGTCACTGGATTGAACTATTAACTCAGGATCAATCATCTAATTTGCTAAAATCATCAACAATGTCTAATGTGAGTTACACCAATAGTCCATATAGTCGTTTATCGAGATTTTACGCGAAACTTGTAAGAAAAAAAATTATTCACCCTGAATTGGTGAAAAAACTCCTTTACCTGCAGTATTCTTATAAACCTGATTTAAGTGCTGTTAAAATGAGAAAATGTAAAGTATGGTATACAATTTATCCTACCCAAAGTGATGAATATTTCACAGATGATTCCGAAAAATTTTTCGAAAAATCACCCGTTCAAAAAGAGAAACCTCGAGCTTTATTAAAATCTTCAGTTATGTTAGATGTACGATATACTTTAAAACCTAGCAATGTTAGCGACTTAAAAAATAATTTATCTTTTTCTGGTTCATCGGCATCTGTTGGAAACTATGAAACTAAACGTCGAAATTACAAACAATCTAAAGTTGATATATGCCAAAGTTTGCCGAGTACATTTCCTTCACATAAAGCAGAATCTAGTTTAAGTTATCATCATAATTCAGATAATGACAAAGAATTGAAATATTTGAATTTATCGTCAAAAACTTGGAAATCTATTGAAGCAACACGTCAAATTGATTGTGCAAGTCCAGAATTTATTTATGTTAACCATTTATCGTCACAACTTACAGGTGTATCTGAAAATTCTTTAGATACCAATGCAATTAGTTGCAATTTATTACCTATAACAAGTGTTTATTCATCAGATTCAGGTATGGCTGATAGTTATCACATGCCATCAACAGAACTTACTTCTAGCTATAAATATTATTCAAACAAGTCAAATAGATATGTTGATAAAGTTCAAATATCTTGTCATGAAAGTGAGAATGATGAACATAATTTTGAACATCAATGTATTTGTAGTTCACCATTCGGCTCAACTCCTAGACGTAGTGAACAGTCGGGTGAATCTTCTGAAAGTGTTGATGACAGTATTATTGTTTATACAACATTAACAAGCAATGAAAATGCTAACAATTGCATTGCAAGTATAAATCTAGAAAGTAAGATCAATAAAGAAGCTTCAAAAAATGATAAAAACAATATTGGTTCCTGCAAAAATCTTGATGATTGCAATAAACGATATACCGTACCTATAAGATTGGAGTCTAAAAATATTTATGAAAAAGTTAAAAGATCCGCAGTTCAAAGGCCAAAAGTAATCCATGTTGATGTGAAGGAAAGTGAAAAACCGGTTTTTACCTCTGGACTTTATGCACATTGGTGGCTCAAGAAAGCGATACCCATATCCGAAAACACAAACCAAGGCAAGCTTCCATGGCATGGCTGTTTTTTCAGTTCAAAATTTTGATCATAGTTTTTGTAACCGATCGATCTCATTACTAATAGCCATTCATCTACATTATATTTTACGCTTATCAGTACCCAGCCATGTTGTGTGAAGTTATGCTTCTGCATTGATATTTAATTTTACTAACATTAACGTTCGTACGTTATGAAAATATTACGTTCTAGTTTTTTGGTTCTCTAGGATAGATATCAAAATTTAGGTGAAACTTTTTATAAATTAATGTTTTCTAAATTAACTATTTTATTAATATTTTTACTTTTTAACTTTTTTTATTTGTTTTGTTTTTTTTTAATTCTTTTTCTTTTTAATACAATAGACGAACCATCAATCAATCGGGAAGCTACAGAAACCACTCCCGGAATCCTGTTCGTCACTAAAGACTAAAACTCCTTGGGGTCTAGCGTCTTTACGTCCAGCACCTCCAATTTATTTGAAAGCTTTTAATAAGTCTGATAATATAGAACTTAGTCGCTCACCACGAGCTGCAAGTAAATATCTTATTGTTTAATCAAAATGGTTTATAATTTTAGTACAATAATTTAATATACAATTATTATTTGAAAATTACAGGTGAACGTCAATTTGAAGATGATGCAATTATATTAAAAATTATTGAAGGTTATTGTGTGACCGTCAACGCAAGACTTACTGTTCATCCTGGTAACTTATAAATTATATACTAGCCTTATTTCATGACTGTATTAATGAAATATTGTGTTTTGATGGGAAAAATAATTTTAACTTCAGAATTAGCTATGAGGGATTAAAAATATTTATTTATTTATAAAAAAAAATTATTTTAAACGTGTGAAATTAACAATCGCATATAAATTTCAGCTGTGATAGATAATGAACCATCTAACAAGATATGTGATAGCGTGTCAGTTGTTAATAGTAGAATTGGAATTTCGGATTCTTGCGATGACAGGTATGTACTAATAACATACGAAATTAATCATTGTTATTAGAGAGTCGATAGACCAAAAGCTAATTCTGAAGTTAAGTTATCGATATCTATAATAAAAGACTGATTTACTGTCTATAGGAGCTTATCGCAGACAGTGGAAACCTTAAAGAATCAAGTTGAGACTTTGCAAAACCAAGTATCACAACTTACTAAGCTATTAGATGAAGAAAAACAGTCACGACTGTTACTCACTATTGCGATGAAACGGATTGGTGCAATGGATAATTTTGTGTCTTTATAGGTGCATTAAAAATAGTTTTTATCATATTTTGTGCCTTACTATTAACATAAAATTTGTGTTGAAATTACTAAATAAAATTTATAATTCATTACTTTACTTTATAGCGATCTCGAAGAAGTCTTCCATTAATTTTTTTAATTTCATTTGAATAATAAAAGTAATGAATTGTAATTTTTTTTAAATGACATCTTAATTTTAAAAAAATTGTAAAATCAAACATTAAAAAATTTGTATATTTTGTTTTTGAAATTAATTAAATATGACTTTTTATCTTGTAAATGTTGGAGAGAATATCGCGTGATTAAAGCAAAAAGGGCGCATTGTTAGAGGTTTGTAGGGATCCATGCTAAAAGGGCGCATACAAAAATTTTTTTTTGTCATTTTTCTTAAAATCACTTAAAACAGATCTGTAAAAAAAAAAATTCGAACGCCCTAAAGCTAAAAGAGCGTAACTCAAGGCATGCACCCTTTTAGCTTTTAGGAAAGTAGTGCCTAAAGCTAGAAGGGCGCATAAAAAAAATTTAAGTTTTTATAAAAAATTTTGACAAAGCTTCACAAGACAAGTTAGATCCAAAAAATAGTCTAGTACACAAAGCTCATTTATTACAGAAAGGAGCAAAATGAAAACAATTGTTTAGTTTTGCAGTTACTCAGTTTCTAGGTATAAAATTCATATGAATAATATTTTTTTTTACCTACGACACATTTTTTCCTTTAAAATTTATTAAAAATGCAGTAATAAAAAAAATGAAAATATCTTTTTATTGAGAAAAAAAAAACCGAAGATGTGACAGAGATGGAGCAAGAGGGTATGGGAATCATACCTAAATGAACCCGTTATTAATGTTTTTTTTTTTTTTTTTTTAATTTGATGTAAGAATTTTAAAATAATTTTCAGATAAAAATAAATTAATACAATCGCGCATATTTTGCAATTTTTTTTAAATATTTTTAAAATAGTGTATGTATAGTTAGAATACGCCTCCTTGACTACCATTTTTTTTTTATTTTTGGGCTAAAAGTAAGCATTTTAGTGAATTGCTTAGAAAAAAATTTATAGGCCCTTTCAGCTTTAAAAAATCAATGTTCCATTTTTAGGCGGAGAATATGTCTACCAGTCGATTGGTGATAAAAAAAAAATTATGCGCTCTCTTAGCTTTGCAAAGCTAAAAGGACACCTAGATTGCTATGCGCCCTTGTACTTTTTGGCACGCGATATGTTACGTAATTTAAAAAAAAAAAATGAGATTACAAGTTATAGATTCAAACAATTTAAGAACTTATCTATAATTTTTTTTTAAAAAAAGATTCAAATACAAGAAATATTTTATTTACAAAACATAGATAATTATGAAACATAAATATATAAAATTCCATGTTGACTTAGAGACAAAAGTGATTATTGAATTACAACTTTTAACGTATTTTAGTATTTTTTTGTACTAAAATATTTTTCAGTATATATTTCGGATTGACTTATATTGTTTATAAAATCTGATATATATTGTGTGAATTGAGAACTTTATCATAAAAGTAATGGTTTAAGCAGAATACAAATCTTATAGTATATCGTGATTGAGTTTTCAATCTTATTCTTATTACATAGAATAGATGTTATTCTACTGTGATAATAAAAATTAATCTTGTTATAATCGTATTATATTATTAATAATTTAATAATTACAAACCTTCTTACTGTAACCATTAGAATATTTTATCATTTCTTTACAAAAGTATATAAACAATCTATTCATATAAAACTAAGAATTGGGATTAGACGTTGAAATTTGAACTGATGCACCAGTTGCCGATGCTAACGGTTGCGTTGATCTAATGTTCGATCTTCCATGAAGGTGCTTATTTTTTATACGATCTAATTCATTAACTCTGCTTCTGGCGTGTTCCAGCCTATGCCAAGCCATTTGTAAAACTTTCTGACTCGCATAACCTGATCCTTCGTGTGGTTGACCTAACATAGTAATTTAAAAATTTAAAAACTATGAGAATAAATTTAGCAGATATTTAATAATTTTTAGAATTTTTTGTAACAAATAAATTATGGCAAAAAAAAAAATGAGAACAAAAAATTGACATGTAGAAATTTTAAAAAATTATAAATGCAATTTTTTAAAAATAATTTTTTGGAGTAAATTATCAAGTGACAGCAGACTTTAATGTCATTTAAAAACTTCATTTTTGGTTTATGTGAAATTTTTAAATAAAAAGAATTCAAACATACCAGTAGAAACTTGAGTAAGATAATTGATTTGTTCACTTAGTTTTGATTCAACAGTGCTTAATAATTTTAAAAATTGATGAGTTTGAGCTTCAGCTTGTTTCACACTTGATTTCTCTTTACTAAGTTCAACAAACACTTGACCTATAAAAAATATTAATTTATTTTAGATTATCATCGAATAAACTACCATAAGTTTTGTTATGAAATTCTTACCGGCACTTTGTAAACAATTGATAATATCTTTTTCAATTAATTCTAAAATTTGAATGCGTTCCATTGGCGGTGTCATGATTGGATTGCTTTTTTTATAAATATTTAACAAATTTATTCTGTGATTATTCAATATGCACGTTAACAGTATAATTAGTGAACTGTAGCACAGAAATTGGTTTTTAACCTAAGAAATATATTTTAATTCATATTCCTCTGGAAACTGGAAAGTAAACTATCATCAGTGTTGCCGATGGCTTAAGTTAGAATTACCCACTCCACTAAGTCCAATTACCCGTTTTTACCCGGCACTGAAAGTTAGTGTTGCCATCTACTAAAAGCGCGGTAAATTTAAAATTAAATATTAAATCTTAGAGCATTCAAAATAAAAAGTACACAATAATAATTATTAATAAAATTTATTGAATTATTTCGTTTTTTTAAACTTTCAAAACATAATATTGTTAAGTATTTGTTGAATATATAAACCATATAAATTAAAAAATAAACATTAGACGATGTACTTAGTAATGATAATCATTATCATAACAATATTAATTCAGATTTTTTATTATTTATCGTTATTTTTCCTAAACATTTGTGTCAATCATTTCGTTTGTTGGTTCAAAATTAATAATTTCGCTATCCTTAGATAAATAATTTTTAGTTACGGATACAGATTTTAAGGTTTCCATGGATAAATTGTTTCTATTAGTCAATTGATTTTGTGAATCATTCATTATGTTCCGGTAAGGCGCAAGTTCAAGTTATGAGGGCAAACGGGAAAATATGAGTTTGAATTATACATCAAAAATATTTATTCAATACTTTAACATAAAATGTAATTTAAGGAAATCCAAGTACCCTGCTAGTGTAAAGAATGTCTAAAAAAGCATAATGCGTAGAAATACTTTTGTTATGCATCTTAAAATTAATTTTCAAATTAATTAATAACATTTTTGAGGAAATTTCCGAAAAATTTACGCATTTAATTATTACTAACATTTAATAATTATTTAATTGACTAAAAAAAATATAGCACTCTGAATTACCGGTAAACACTTGACAACACCGTAACAGTTCCCTAACCTTGAAATTTATTTGTTTGTAAACATGTCTCAGATAAACCAGTAGCATAATTTGCGAGCGCATTTTGGCAAATTTTCTACACATTTTATAAAGAAATATATAATTTTATTTATGTAATCCTGTTAATTAAATTATATTCCTTACTCATCGATTAAATGATTTTCAACTTTTAATTGTAAGAGCCAGTTTTTCAATCCAAGATAAAATTTTATCCAAGATAAAAATACTGCGAATATAATAATAAAAATAAATAATTCAGCACAGTGATATTGCATACAAGTAGTTCTCCCTGAATCAGTCACTTATTTTTAATTAAAATAAATAAACATTAGCTACATGTCACAGAAATATTATTCTCCAACTGTTCTGTTCACAGAAATATTGAAATATTAATCTCCAACTCTTCGAGCTCATATCTTGCGTTTGAAATATCTATTATTAATCTATAATTATGTTAATTAATTTAAAATAATTTAAATCACACAATGAGAGGTTATTATTATTTTTATGATATATTTATTTATTATTTAAATAAATGACCAAATTCATGGAGAACTAACTGAGAGCAATATCACGTCGCTAAATTATTTATTTATTTTTTTTTTTTTTTCATTATATTGACAGTACTTTTATCTCGGATAAAATTTTATCCCGGATTGAAAAACTGGCCCCAAGTATCTTTGTATTTTTAACTTACTTTATTAAAAAAAATATGTTTACTGTCTAACTAAAATGACTAAGAGATTTTCTAGCATTTAAAAAACCGTGGTTACTTATGCGCCGGGTAACTGCGCAAGCGGTGTTGTCAAGTCAAATACAAGAATTTAAAGAACGGAAGTTTCTTGTGATTTTTCATAAAAAATATAAAATATCTTCGTAAAACGTCCGGAAACCTACTTTTTTTATTATTTTAATCGAAAGCTTATTAAATTTTCTATCAAATTCAATGAAAAGAAAAATTTTTTAAAATCGTTAATTGCATTAAATTCTTAACCAAATACACGGCTGGTGAAATCTCCATTTAACTACATGTAAAAATTACAATTTTCAAACTTAATTATTTCATTAAATATCCCAGAAACCTACTGTTTTTTAATTTTTTTTATTGATTATTAGGCTATGTAGATGAAATTTACAAATTTTCAGAAAATTTTAAAAACTTGACTACTTTGCGTGGATCTCCTTTTAATAAAACAACCATTACCCGACTTTACCAGTCTGAGTCCCATTGCTTGGTCATTTACCCATTTAACATCGAATTACCCGAAAAATGGGTAATTACCCGGACATTGGCAACACTGCTGGAAAGTAAACTATCATACCCTATACCTGTTTAAGTATGTGTATAAGTTGTGTTTACTGTGAATGTAGGCTAAAGTATACACCACCGCCATGATTATATGCAATGTTAGACGCGGCTTGAATTTGAATATTAAAATTAAGTGTATCATAAAATATTATTGTTACCTTATGATCAAACTACTAAGAGGAAAAAAAAGGAGAAATAAAAAAAATTTTAATGAAATTACACAATGGTCATTTAAGAGATAAAAATATCCTACGAAAAGCTACAAATAGGTATACATCCTACAAAAGCTACAAATAGGCTTTAAATAAGCCTAGAATAAATTAAGTTGTAAAGAGAAGATCTCAGTTGTCTTGGATGTTCAGTAATTTTCAGTTATTTAAAGTTATTCCAAATCTCATTTCATTTTATCACATCTAATATAAAATAAATTTACAACAAAAAATTATTTTTATCTATGTTAAATTAAAAAAATGTTGATTTATATTTATCAATAAAAATTTCTCCATTAATTACTAAATAATTATTTACAATTTGATCTCGTTGAGAAAACTTTTCCTTTTTAAAGGTACGCTTGGTGATTTTTCCTTTATAAGAACATCTTCACTCATTGGTTCAATTATAGTTCCCATTCTTGTTTTCACCGGTGGTTTAATAAGTTGTCTATGAGAAATTTCTGGAACGAAATTTCGACCGATAGGTGTACGTATGCTGGCTTCAAAATCTTCTACGGTTACAAATGGATGAGGCAAATCATTGATTTGATGCTGTCTAAGTTTGGCATCGATATCATCAATGATTATAACATTTTCTTTATCTTTATCTTTTCTGTGAGCTGTTTCATTTGAATTAATAATAATGCGGCGCTTCTTACGTTGAGATATTTTAAAATTTTTATCAGCCCATGATCCCCATCCAGGAAGACGAGTTTCTACCTGACGTAATTGAGAGTTCTTTATCTAAAAATTAGAAAAATTAGGATGCTTAATGAGAATTATTAAAAAAAGTATGGTTTTTTGTTAATCAAAGATTATAAAATTTTCATTACCTGTTCTTCTTTTTCATTTTTGAATTCATTTGTGACATCATCATCAATAAATGCTTCACTTATAATTTTTTGTTGACTTTCTTCTATTTCATCTTCATCACTATCATCTAAAACGTCAACTTCACTTTTTAAATCATCTGGAAGGTCATTTTTCAAGTTTATATGTTTAGATTTGGCCTGAATGAACTTATTGGGATCTATTTCTGTTACAACTGCTTTTGAGATATTTTTAGATGTATCGAGTTCAAATCTCGATTGGTGCTCAGTTACTTGTCCTGTTTTATTATCATTATCATGTCTTATGTCATTTTCATCCAACGCATCATCGATAAATGGACGATTACTTTTTTTTTTAAATGACAAATCTGATTCTTTATTATTTGAATTTGTTACTAATTTCTTATTTTTATTTGAATTTTGTGTTTTTAATTTGCGTTTTAATTTTTTCAATTTTTTTAAGGCTTTCCGCTGATTATCATTTTCTAAAGTTTCAAATATTTCAGATACTGTTGGTAACTTTTTACTCGAGAGAGAAAACGATTGTGAAACTTTTTCTGATTCTTCGACCAACCATTCTGAAGTGCCAGAATTAATTGTTTGCTTTGTTGCGTTTTTTTTCATGGATTTGTCTTTAACATTTTTCATTTTCTTTACCTTATTTTCTTCAACGCATTTCAATTCTTTAATTTTTCGTTTTTTATCCAATCCTTTGATAGGTTTTTCATTTTTATCATTAATATATTCCACACTTACTTGTTCTATTGGATTTAATAAATTGTTGTTGGAAATTTTATTTTTATTTTGAACGTCAATTTGATGTTCTTTAGAATTTATTTCTGGTTCTAATGAAAATATTTCATTATTTACCCAAGGGTTGTATTCTAATGGCTCAGACGTAGTTTTTAAAACATTTGTTTCTAAATCTTCATAGTCATCATCATCATCACTGTCATCTTTTTTGACCTTTTGAGTTAATTCACGACTAATTGATAGTTGTTGAGCTAGTACTTGACGACTCTGCAAGTAATAGTAAGCTTAAATAAGCATTATCCATCTTTAAAATAATTAAATAAAAATTTTTCATTTATAAGAATCTGTATCAACTAAATAATTACCTCTTTATCATACTTAGCTCTAACTTGTTTATTTCGAGCCCATTGTCCTGTATTTTTATGCTTTAATGACATTCTTTCTAGTGCTCTTGCTTTATCCAATTCCTCCAATTTTTGTAGAGCAAGTTCAGGGTTGCTCTTCTGAAGTTTATCAAACTCTTGAAACTGTTGCTTGATTTTAGCCTTTTTTTCAATTTTATGGAATTTTTTACTTTTTATTTTATTTACTCTCCGAGCTTTTTCTGCTTTATAAGACTAAAATCATAAATAATTTATATTTTTGCAATGCGTTAAATAAAAAACATACAATTATAAAAAAAAAAAAAAAAAAAATACTTACTTGTTGAGCCCGAAATTTAGCATTTTCTTTTGCTTTTTGAATCATTTCCTCTTTTGTAAGAGTAAACTTATCTATTTGATTTTCATTATCGTCAGCTTCTTCAGATGGTTCTAACGATGCATATTCTTTTTCTAAATCTGATTGTATCCGATAAGACTTAACTTTTCCATTATTAGAAAGTTTCTTTGAAGATGAGGTGTTTATTGGAAATACTAAATGATCTGCAACTCTATTTTTAGTGACTATAGGATTCCATTTTTTCAAATTTTCGCTGGCATTTTCAAAACAAACTTGACGTTTTAACTGAAAGTTAAATAAATGACAAATAGTGATTACGAATATCAAAATAAGTTACGAATAAGATATTTATATTGAATTTACCCTTTCATCAGCTGGTTTTTCTAGTGGTTTAGGCAAAATCTTTGCTCGTTTTTTGGTAGCTTTGAATTGATTGCTAAGCTTTAAACTTTGATCTTGCCCTCGTAGTGTATTCACTAGATTTTCTAAGCGAACGGGTTCGTTGTCAGTAATTCCACTACGTACTAAGTGAAATTCCGAGATTTCTGAGGTTAGTTCATTTCTTTCAGATTTTTTAATTCTGAAAATAAAATAAAGTAAATCGAGCTTCTCTTTAAAAAAGTATATGTAATAAATGTCATTAGTAAATAATGTAACTATTTTTTAAAAAACAAATATATCATAAATATCCGGATTTAATGAATTAATTAATCAACGTACTTTAAAAAGTTATGATCCAGCTCCGCAACTGATTTTAACAGTTGGGAATGATTTTTAGAAATATTCTCATCGTTATCATTAATCATATTGTCATCACTCATTTCTGATGATTTTTAAATACTTAATAATATTTAATAGTTGTACAATTATATTACACTTAATAACTTGCTTTTTTACAAATTTTAAACTCGAAACACGTGGATAAAGTTAACCAAAGAATGTGTAGCAAACGTAAAAATGGAAAGTTGTAGTATAGAAAGTTTTAGCGCCACCAGAGAGTGCAGTAGCTAAGAGAAGCTGAAATCAGCGCAAAAAATTGAATTTTTTTTTTTCGAGAAGAATATTATGTACTTATTCGTATTATATTTCTCCATCTCTAAGTGGCAGTTTTTTAATATAGGATAAAATTTTATCCAGGATATAATTATTATTGCCAGTATATCTACATGCATAAAATATATAAATATATTTTAACAGTGGATAAAATTTTATCCCAGTTTGAAGAACTGGCTCTAATTCTTCAACTTTTATATTTTTCATTTAAAATTGAATTAAATCATAGCGACTATTGAAACGTTTTCTTATCACATACACATGAAATTGATATAAATCATTATACTACTAAAGTTAGCCGACATTTTTAATTTTTTGATTTTTTTTTTATTGAAAAAATTAGAACAAAAAAATATTTTGTAAAAATTGACACACGAAATCTGAGTTTTCATCCAGGGCACTTTGGCATAATTATACATAAACTTTTTTTAAGGGTATCGTGTCATTATATCCTAAAACATAAAACAATTTCTTATTATATATTATTCTTATTATATGATTTCCATATAGTTACACTGATAGAAGGATTTGTCTATATTTAATAAGCTTTATTAACTGTTAATAAGTAATTTATTGAGTTTATATATATATATATATATATATATATATATATATATATATATATATATATAAACAGAAGTGACAGAAGGAAGAAGCGGCTTTTTACAGAAGTGATTGTGCATGCAGGTTTTTTCCTGAGGAATAGTTTTCCTTTTTTTTAGTTGATGAAGAGATAAAAAATTTTGTTTATTAAACGATGTAATTACAAAAGTTTACATAAACTCCAAGAACTTATAGACAGTAGTATATCTAATAAAAACAATAAATATACATTATACGCATATTACTCGACGACAGTTTATACTTTTTATAGTTTAATATCAACGTTTTCCTGACAAAAAAAAAAAATTCCGACTTTTCATAAAATATTATATTTAAAAAAAGTAAAACATACATCTTTTCGCCAATATAACTAATAAAATCGAATACACTCTGATTTCTTTTCAGTGAGACTGAACCCTTTTTTCTTCTTACTACCACTCATTATGCTCTGAAGATGTTTCAAAAGAATGAAATTATCCTTCACGATTTGTGCTTGTCTTTCTTTTTGTAATTGTAATTTCTTAGCATCATTTAGAACGTGCGGTATAAGCTTAGGAGGACTCATATCAATAGTCGAAGTTGCTGACTTAACCTTTCGAGAAAATAGAAATTTATATTTTTTTTTTTATTTCAATCTGTAAAAACTTTTTTTTACTTACTCGTTTTCGATGGCGCTCATAAGCTTTTCTTTGACATAATATTAAATCTATATTTGTGTTAGCGGTTCCAGCAATCGGCATTTTTCAATTTCACTTTAAATTGATAGTTAAGTATAAATCACTCTAGTAGTCGGATCGAATTATGTGGTATATAGTTTTTTCACTCATATTACCGAATTATTTTATATCCTCATTTTAGGTAGTTACATGTTAGTTATATAGATAATAGTTGCTTAAATATCCTTGACAACGAAACTATATTGATAAACATATATATAGCAAATAAAGACATGACCTATTCAAATGAAGCTAAATTTTATTTTTTTTTCTTTATTAAATCTTTACGGTCAAAAAAATTTGATGAAACAGGATATTTTTGATGTATAAAATATTTTCAATTTTTTTATTTCAAATAACTAATACAATAAAAAAATTTTCATTAAATTTTTAATGCATCTAAAACAATCAATTTCTTTGAATCAAGAGTCTAGGTTTTTTTCCTAATTTTTTTTCATTTTCAAGTATTTCAAAGTGCTGACATCTTTATTTATAATTCCTTTCATGTATATGTTACTTAACGTACGTAAGGTACATATTTATGTCCATAGTATGTAAGTACGTTTACTTCACAATTTTAATACATTTTAATTTATTAAATAATATTTTCTCCACCCAACTTGATCCCCAAAGTCCTGGCACACCTAAACAAGAGTCGAGAGCAGTACCTGCTGATGGCCCCTAAATGGAAACAAGAATAGAATTTCAAGAAAAATTCTAACTTCTGCCAATACAATTTCGGTCTTCCTTCAGACATCCGAAAATTTTCTTGAGCCAAGAATTTCGCTCTCAGCTCAAAAAATTTTTCTTTCAGTGCAGTGTATTTACATGATAAACTGGGTTTTTATCGCTAAATTTGGTATCATGAGAAAGGTATTCACCTTGTATTTAGTGAACTATTGACATTTTTAAGGAGATAAACTCATTCCGATATTATACTCATCGAGAGCTTTAATTTAATACCCACATGCATTTTGATATATTTTGATATACTAAATCGTAAACTGAACAATCAATAAAAAAAACTGATATCATTATTTTAAGTAAAAAAAAAATTGTACCACCTAATGAAATAGTCTTTTCTAAATAACATATATTTTTTGCAAAGACATAAACGACAATTTTTATATTAAATTTTAGCGTTCCACTATACCTCCAAAAAGGACAGTCAATCTCAAGATCACCAACCGGCAGAAGCTGTTACAAGAGTTATCATAAACAAAGAAGGAAGTGAGCAAGTAGTTAAAACAAATAAACATAAATTAGCCAGCAATAATAGTAATGGAACAGAGCGTAGTACAGAATTTAATACTGATGAGTATGCAAAATATATTGCAAATCACATCAAACCTAAAACTGAAACCAAAACTGTTTCTAAAGAAGTTAAACTAATTGAAACAAACATGGGAGGTTCATATACAAATAATACAGCAACTTTAATTTCTCAATTACATCTTAATAAGGAAAAATATCTATTGTGTATCAAAAAATTGCAAGAAACACTGGATCACTTTCTCAACTATAAAATACAACCATATGTAACAATTTTAAAAGATACGAAAAACAATAATATAAAATATTTAGATAGTATAGAAAAACACGACCTTGAAAAACTAATTAATAATAATGAGTATATCGATTTACACGATTTGAAGATTAATTATGATATTAGGCCTGACATATCGAATGTCGAGCTTGTGGAATTATTATTAAAATATTCAAAAAATATATTTAAGATTATAGCACGCAAATTAAATTTCAAAAATTGTGAATCTTTCTTAACCGATCGATCATTTTATAATGAAATCGCGGATAGCTTGATAAATATTTTTGGATCCAGTGATTTCATAAATTGTAAAAAAGCGGATGTATTAAATTCAGAAAATAATGAAATATTATATATAAAAATCTTGAATAATCCAGAGGTTATTTTTAAAAATTTTAATCTCAATCTTCCAAATGAAATTAATAAAAAAATGAAACAATCTAATTACTTTCTGTATATTCGAGATTTTATGATACAGCCAGATAATGATGATTCTAAATCATCAGATAATCAAACGTTAAGCAATAACGATTTAAATGAAAAAAACTCATTTATTGATCGGATATGCAAGAATGCCAATTCTCTAATACACACCCTGTCATTTGACGGTGAAAAATAAGTGAAATTGTGAAATGTTCTGACGGTGATTGCATGGTTCATACAGTGAACATTCACAAGATTTTCTCCATTTTTTTCCCACTCAATAACGATGATTTTCCGACCTCTTGATCGTTTTCAGACATAGATACAACAGTGAATGACTATAGTAAAAATTCGGTGAACAAAGAGTATTTCGGTGGTGAATCCACGGTAGTCTGCGAGTGAATTGCAGGTGAAATGGCGGTAAAGAAGATAGTAACGGTAAAGTAGAAATTTTATACCAGCGATCCATTGATAAATTGCTCGATGAAGTTTTATTTGTAAATGTAAAAAAATTTCATAAATTAATATATGGGGCTAATAAAAGATAAGTAATTAGTTAATAAAAATAATTTGAAAAAGTATTCAGTAACTATAATTTTTGACATTATAAAAAAACACCTTTTATAAATTTTTGTAAAATTTGAGGATTTTTTGTTTTATGAAATATTAAATTTAACATGGGCTCATGAAATAAAAAAAAAATTTTTTTTTGATTAATAAAATTTAATCCATTTATTTTGGGTGACAAATTCACAGAATGATTTATTATTTAGAATTCATGGAATAGAAATAATTATCAAAACTAAATTAAGTATCCGTAAAATACATGGTGATTAAAATGCATCTTTAATACACGTCTGGGATAGCATTACAGGAAAATTTCTTGACTTTCAAACAGGTGAACCGAGTTGGATCCCCGATCTGGACGAAGTTATTTTACAATGAATTTTTTTTTTTTTTAATATTATCGTATAGGCGAACATTTTACGAGCTTAATATCGATTATTTTAGGTGAATGCACCTATTTTCTTTCATCGGATTCCTACGATGACACGATGAAACGACCGCAATGAGCTAGTTGTTTGCCAGTTATATGCGGGTGAATTGATGGTGAAATGTCGGTCAAATCACCGTGAATTCACCCGCAGAAAAAGGTATTTCTCGGATCTACAGTCAGTAAATCAATCGTCAAAAACGTTCACAATGACATCTGATATAGACCGTCAAATCACTTCATATAGACTAATGTTTGACCAATGCTTGACCGTGAATTGACAATATTATAACCGTAGCGGTGAAACCGCTAGGGCAGCGTTGAAAATACAGTATTAGATAAATCAAATGGGATAAATATTTCTATGAAATATATAGGATTTCCGGGAAGTGTATCATGTATGCACTTAGAAGTCTTCCAATCTTCCCTCTGTTTTCTATTTGTATGCGGGTGCACCGAAGATATGGTTAATCGTTAACCATACTATAGTACAAAAGAATTGAAAGAGGTTCTTGTAAAATTCTACAAAGAAAATGGTAATGTACATTGTACTGCTCCATGGGAGCACAATAATATTTACATAACCCCGGATTTCCTAAAAAAGAACTGTATCCAATTCGAAATTAAGTTACAGAAAGCAGGCGACATAATCGTAATAAGAGAGTGTGTATTTCATCAAATATTAAATTTAGGTTTTAATATTGGTGAATCAAGCAATTTTGCAGGGTCGCAGTGGAATATAGTTAATATAAACATGCAGAAAGGTTGTGGTTGTGAAGACTTAAATACTGGAGAAGAAATGTCCAAAAAGGTGGCATTACCTTGCGACCACAGAGAAATTTATAAAGTAATCCATTCCAAACGTAAGGTCCAACCTTGTCCAACCTTGTCCAATAAGAATGTAAAATTATACACACTAGAGTGTAATTTGCTACACAAAAATTTTTACACTTTACACATTGACGAAAAATTTTTTACTGTGCAGTAATTTTCATCGTCATTTTGCATCATAATATTTTTTTTTTCACATCTAAGATTTTTTTTTCCAAATTTTTAAGTTTTCACTTTACAAATAAATGATTTAAAAAAAAATCGGGAAGTCATTGGTTCCATGCCAGTTTTCGAAAATCAAGTTCTAATCTGATCTCCACACTGATAGAAGGATTTCTTAGTATTTAAGAAATCATTTTTTAAACATCATTTCTTAGTATTTAAAAAATATTTCTTAGTATTTAAGAAATATTTCTTAACCCCCCCCCGAAAAAAAAAAAAAAAAAACACACACACACACACACGCGCGGAGGGTAGCGTTGTTCGCGTCCGTAGGTTCTGCTTTTACACCCTACACGTGCTCTCCGGGTAGTGCCAAATGAACAACACCAAACAACGATATGGAAATGTCAGAAGATATTCAAACATCGTTTACAGTACAGAGAATGCATACTCAGTGCCGGCGACGGAAGGCGTGCAAACGGGCCTGAACTCGTCGTTATCAAGCGACCGTTACGACAGCTGGGTGGACCCCATGGCTCTGCTGTCTAGAAATGTTACAGGGAGTACAAAAACAGCCTAGATGGAAGAGAATGGACAGCTGAACAACGTTCCTTCAAAAAGTGGAGGACCTTTTGCTTCTGTCACAAACCAAACCTATCGAGGAAGAATTAACTCTGTACCGACTGTCACCAGCCAACAGTCACCAATGGAGAGACTTGGCAGCAAGATTGAAGAGTTAGTCGACTTCATAAAGGACAAGAAGAATCTCCATCATGAGATCAGAAAAATGGTTACGTCTATTGGTACGGCATATAGGCTTGCCAATAAATCACCAACGACGTCAGCGTCAACGACTCTAACATCTCCGAGTCTGAGCAAAAAATCACAGCCACCTCTGGTCACTCCTGAGAGATTATCACAGCAAGGAGAGGGCAACAACAAGAAGAGGCAGCTGTTCACGCCCAGCCCCTCCGCAGAAATTGACAAGCCAGCACAGAAAAAGCCAGCCCGGGATGATACTTGGATTAAAGTGACTTGGCAAAAGAAAAAGAAGGTAAGAGAACAGAA